TGACCGTAATCTATTTCGCTTTGAAGTTCATCCAATGTCATCTCTGCCATGAGCGCAAGAGTCTGTAATACTCGAGGCTCTTCGATTTGACACTTTTCCCCCAGTGCCTGCAGTTTTTTGTCCATCTTCTTTGAGTTGGTATCAATCACTTTAAGCTCCTGCTCCGTTTTTTCGATTTTCTGCATGTCTGCAGCCATTTGCACTTGTTGTGTATCCAGCTTGTTGTCAATTGCTGTGATTTTCTCCAGCAGAGGGCGAAGTGCTTCCGACAAGAGCCTTTGAAGTTCCGCTGTAGAATCCTGTCTAGGAGTAGAACTCGCAGGGCTGGAACTTACAGGAAGAAGCTTTGCTTTCGCTTGTTTATTTCTAGAGTCCTTCACCGTCGGCGGCACCATGTTTGAGAATTGTTTACTTTTATCAAAAATTTGTCAAAGTCTCTGGAAGTTCTTTTGTAACGTGGTAAGCTTTTACAGTCTCTTTATTTTATTCCAGCTGCTTTTTGTAGCAGCCCCCCCTTTTGTAGCTAAAATTGCCTGTAAACAGTTCTTAACGGAGGAGAGTCCCCCCCCTCATTTTCTTTCGGGAGAGCCATGTGCTTTTTCGTTGTCTCATACTTAATCTCACATTTTCAATGATTGCTCACTTGTGTCTAGTATTGCTCCAGTGTGCTGATCTTGTTCCCATACGGGACGCTCCACGGTGGGACCGTCGGGGCTTGGAGTAGCCCCCCCTCACCAGCTTTTCTCACCAGGGGGAGCGTTCTAGCGCCCCATGGCTGGGAGCCCTTCTTCCAGTCTCCTGAGGTGGCACGGACAAGTGTGCCCCCTCCCAGCCATGGGCGCTGGCAGGCTTTTCCCGGAGGTCTGGGAGAAGGCTACTGCCATGGCGATCGCCAAAACCGGAAACCTGAATCCATCACTGGGTTTCCTGAACTCTCCTGTGTCCTTACTGAGGTGCCTTCCAAGATGTCAGAACTAGCTAGCCCTCCTGCATCTAGCTTTCTGACCTGGATTCCTTTACCACCATCCTCTACAGGGAGACCTCTCTAGCTGTCTCTCTTCTCTGGTTTCCCTCTCTGCAATGAGGTGGAAGGAGGTTTTATCTGCCTTCATTTAGCTCTCCCCCTCTGCTTTTCTTCTAGCTTCACTCCTTTGCTTTCCCTCTTTTTTCTTCTCAGTGCCAGCCCTCTGCTCTCTTTGCTTCCTCTGTATCCTAGCACTACCCTCACAGTTAAGTGGGCAGGCCCCTGCCTTCCTGCACTTTCCCAAGGCAACCTCAGCTGAGCTTCCTGGTCACTGCCCAAGTGACTGTAGCCCCAGTTGTTAGCAGACTACAGGTACCATCTACAAAGGACTGTCTTTATACTGATGAAAATCTTTTCTGTGTCAGTGAAAACCAGGGCATATCCCCGGCAGACTGGGAACCAAATACCACACCACTCACAGTTTTTACAACTACCACCAACACTGTTCTCCTGACTGGGAAACTTTTTTAAAAATTCTTCTGACCAGTTACAAAACCTCATAGGCTTGACTGAGGCATCACCGGCCTTGCTTGCACACAGGAGGGAGAACAATTGCCTCAGTGAAACAGCATGTTTTGAAGATTGTTGCCTCAGCAATTGTGGAGCACCAGATCTTTTTTACCAGTTTAAATATTCAAATAAAGTTATTGACCAGGTTTTAATCTAAGCTAGACAAACCTTAGAAATCATTTGATTCTCTGTATTCAAATTATCCTTATACTAATACCCAAGTTGCCCCCTCCGTGCGGATATCTATATCTGCACTTTGGGGGCACTTGGGGGGCAGGGGGAGGTTTGTGCACATGTGGGGCAGTCCCCACATGTGCACAAAAATAAAAAAAGTTTAAAAACAATTCGGGGGGATGTTTAAATCCCCCTGAAAGTGCAAGAGCGTCTCCTGCGCGTGCGCAGGAGACGCTCTGCGAACGCTGCCACCGGCCGGGTGGGTGGGGAGGCCGGTCGGGGAGGAGAGGCCTCGC